ATTTGTGCGTCTTCTTTAAGGTTGTAAGGGCTGTGATGAAAAGCTGATAATAGATCTTTATGCTGACTTTGATGTTAACAAATGAAAACATTGTGTCCATACAACAAGCAGAGTATATACACTTACATACTAAATTATCTTTGAAGTTTTGATTGTAACATAGCTAAACACACAAAAAATGTAAAAGATATTGTGATTTCCTTAAAACCTTTTATTTGTTATTTTACCTACAAATACACAATCACACTAAAGACGTTAGGAAAGCCCTGTGTTGATCCCAAATATAAAGTTACAATAATACAAACCTTCAGAGTGCCTAATTAAATTTAACATATATTTAGAACATCTCAATATACACTGTGAGGGAACTCTTAGCTCCTGGCTTGTAAGAGATAAGTAAATGTTATTATCTAGAGAAAGAAGACATCATTATTTTCAAAATCAACAAAGTGAAGTGAACTTCAAAAAGTACCTTTAAAAACTGCTTATTAAAGTATTCCTGGAAATGTATTGTGCTTGACATATTTTGAGGAAAATAATGTAACCCTGAATGAAAAGAAATTGTGAAATGGGACATTTTATTTCCCAGAAGTAAAAAATGAAATGAAATAAAGGGAAGCAAAATACCTTTTTGCTGATATTGTAGCTTTCAAGTTGTACCGAATCCAATTCAGGAATATAGCAATGGCATATACATTGAAAGCTTAAAAAAGCAGAGGTATTTATTTAATCACTATTGTTTTGAGACACCATCACTGTGGAAATCAGTTCATACTTTTAACAACGTTACACACTTTCTTAACTAAGTTTGTTAATATGTTCTGGGTAAATGTAAAATTTTTAAAAATAAATAAGTTACTCTGATAATTTAGGGCTGGAAAACCCAAGTTTGGTATTCTCTTTTTTAAAGAAAAGGTTAGCTGAAAGCATTTTATACGCCTAATAAGCCGATGGATACTTTAACTAGATTTTTTTATTTGCCTATTAACCATACAAAATAAATGCATATTTCTACATAATAAGCATAAGAGGCAGGATATTTTCTTTGATACATAATTACTGCACACTTGATTTTAGCCAAAGGCCAAAAAGTAATAGGGTTTTTTTCAGATCATATAAATTGTTCAATTTTTTTCGATACATAAGAATATATTTTCAGTACAAAATTTTTGGAGCAAGTTCACAAACAGTACTGTACAAAAGTCTCTCATGTTTAATTTTGCATCCTAAAAATAAAAATGTCAGTATATGCCAAATAACTCTGAACCTATGGAAAAAATTGATATATTTTCTGCTAAACATCCAGACAGATGCTCTAAAGATTCTATACCGATAGAATTCAGCTGAATATGAATTATCATATTCATATTGAATATCTTGAAAATCAAGATAAAATTTTTCATCAAATAAATAAACAATTGTAATGGAAGTAGTCCACGATTTATGACCACAATTGGCACCAGAATTTTGGTCACTAAGCAGTTAAGTTATTAAGTGAGTCATCCTGTAACCAGACCCAATTTTACAACCATTTTTATCATGGTCAATAAGTGAATTGCATGGTCATTAAACAAACTGACTTTGTTTCCTGGAAGCCAGCTGGGAAGGTCACAGAACGTGATCACATGATTGTAAGACACTGCAACTATCATGAATATGAGCCAGTTGCCAAGCACCCCTATCATGATCGTGTGATCGTGGGGTGGTGCGACGGTCACAGTGTCAAAGACAGGTTGTACATTACCTTTTTTTACGGTATTGTAACTTAGAACATTGTTCAACATTGTTGTAAATCAAGAATTACCTGTAGTTTTGTTCTTCCTGTTGTTAACCATTTCAGATCTACTCTTTTAAATATCTGTCACCATTCATTAACAATGTATAAATATAATTTCAATCTTATCACATTATCTAATTTTCCTCTATAATTTTTCACATGATTTTGGAGGCCAAAGGTGTAGCTTAAAAATTATTTTGCAGAAATATCTCTGATTATTTGCTGCTTAGTACTAGACATATTTATAAGATTTGCTCAGAGCTGTTAGGTAGACTGTCCATCAATTCAAAAAGGAATTTCTGAATGAGAATTAAAATTTAGAAGAAATAAGTAAATTTAGAATAAGACTCCAAGCTAGGCAGATTAGCAATGTTTTCAGCTGGAATAGAAAACTAATAATATCCGGAAATTGACTGCTTAAAATGCATGTAGATATAAAAAAAGGCAGAAATGGCTCAGACAAAAGAACATGAAGAGGCAGCATAAAAGCAACTAAGAAACATATGCGGTACATGATATGACTTTTAATGAGAAATTCTTTTGCACTTTTTTTGTCTACTACAAAAATATATGTAGTTCAGAAAGCACACAATAGCAGTGACACCATTTTGTAGGATTTAATGGAATTGAGGCCCAGTCAAAAAAGTAGCCTTTACAAAGGTAGATCATGACTTTCTTGGTTGCTTGCCATATTAGAGCTATTTCATGTCCAGCACTATAAATCTTAACCTTGATTGGTCTCAGCATCAACAGATTGCTTCTTGCAATGAAGTTCCTTAACCTACACATTTCAGAGTTACATTACAGTTCACTAGATCTCCAGCTCTATTATATTTAAGTAAGCAAGAGTAGGTGCCAATAGAACTCTCTAAAACTGTTTTCTTTCTAGCTGTGTTCTACAAGTGCTTTTATATGGAGATTCTCAATCATGGTTATCCCAAAGATGCTTTTTCAAGAGGCAACTGGATTTTCTTGTTTTTCTTTGAAAACATCTCACTTCTCATCCAAGAAGCTTGAATGACACCATCTATCTTCAGTCTACAATGCAGTCCTTTCAACAGTTCCAAGAAGGCTCCACACCCATTTGCACTGCTCAGGTGACTCTGAGGACACAGGCAAACCTCCGAGTGGCCTCAATAACTCTCTAAAAGAATGCAAATGACTAGCTGTCTACAAGGAATATAAATCTTTCCATTCCATTCCCACCACCCAGTCAGAGCTGAAGAAGCTTCTTGGATGAGAAGCAAAATGTCTTCAAAGAAAAACAAGAAAGTCTAGTTTCCATTTGCAAAAGCACCTTGGGGACATTATATTCAAGTGCTGTTTGCATTTACAGATAATTCCTGAGTTGCAAGCGTTCCCTTAGCAAAAGTTTGAAGTTACGCAATAAGCCCCCCCCCCCAGTGCTTATGAGCAAATCTCAAAATTACAAATATTGCAGCGCCACGGCAGTCATTCACTGCCGTGACACTGCAACATTCACCCTGATTATTCCCCACCCTCGCCCCGGGTCTCCTAGGCGCTAGGCTTTCAGTACTCTGCGAAGATCGAGATCCTTCACTTTCTTGGCTGCTCCAGGCCTTTGGTGTGTTTGCAGAGAATGGAGGCCTGAAGTAATACAACATCACATAAGATCAGTGGGGCAAAATCACACGCTGCTGATCTTGCGTGATCTCATGGTACTTTAGGCCTCTGTTCTCTGCAACAGAGAACGGAACCGAAGTCTGGGGACATTTCTGCGTGCCTCCGGAGGCTGGATCCGCGAGCCGGAGGCCTTTTCCAGGCCGCTGCCACCCAGATCTGAGGCCAGGGGACACTTGTGCGGCCCTCCAGAGGAGACTTAAGCTAATTAGTGGCAACTGAAATTTTTTTTGCAAAAGGAGATGCAGCCTGCTTGCAGGCATTTAGTTCCTGAGCGGAAGCAAACAGCTGGTTGGCAGCAGCAGCAGCGGGAAGGCCTCTCAGTTCAGGCAGAGATCAATTAACAAAGTGGAGGAAATAGTAAGTCAGATCTTCATTCATTTAACAATCCATTTGATTTAATTAATGAATTTGATTTTAAACATTTATAAAATTGAATCTGATTCATTTGATGAATTTTTTGACTTACGAATCTAATGGGCAGGCTGCATTAGGTTCATACCTTGAGGACTACCTGTATTCTATGTAGGACAAAGAATTACTTGAAGAGCAGTACAAATCAAAATAGGAGTTTTCCCCAATACATAGCCTTAAAGATGCAATGTGCTAAAAATTATCTTGTACCAGAGATTTTACTAGGGGAAACCCCTGCATTAATTTGCAAATGATTATACTTATTGTGAGTATTTTTTAGAAATATTATTAAATATTTAATAATATATAAATAATATATGAAATTATACACAAAAGAACGTGACCAGGATATCATGTTATTTCCTCTTATTTCTGGATTTCAAGATACTGTATGTATATTATTGCTTTATGAAAATTATCCCCACAGAAGATATTTATTAATATCAATCTGGATGTAAGATGTTGAGTACACAAATCACTCAGGAAATAAAACATGTAGTATTGTAGTAGACGTGCCACGAAAGAAAAGGAGATTAAACAAACAGTGAACAGGAGCATTCGATACTGAAATATTTGGTTACAAGTACCATTTATTCTTTTTATATTCAGAATTTTATCTTTTTCCATTCAGTTTTTTGTTCCCAATGTATGCATCACAATAGCCCAGTATTAGTGCTCCTTTCACAGCTTATTATTGTGTTATTAAGAATGTGATACTGTCAGGAATGTACATGAACAAAGTTCGCTCTCTTCATAAACAGATAAGGCCCATGTTAAATTAAAAAGGGGGAAAAAACATTCAGAACCACTGGATATAATATTTGTATAAAATTGAATTAAATCTACCCTTATTATAGAAAGTGAATTCTGAACATAAAACAATTTATCCCTATTAAATATACTTCTTTTAAATAGCAAATTAGACTGCAATAGGATGGTTATACTCTGAAGAGATATGAGAGCCATTGGGTTTTTTTTCCCCTACCAAGCTTTCTTTATATATTGAAAAAACTTTGAATAAATTCAACAATTTCTTTATTTTTTCATCGTTCACAGTTCAAAATTCCTCAGTGTTATCAACAAAAATTTCTAGTTTGAGTAAGTGAGTAAAAATAATTCATTCTTGCTTCTGATATGCTTGTTTGTTTGTTTGTTTAAATTGTTTTAGCTATGACAGTGAAGGCAGATTGACCAATGTCACATTTCCAACTGGAGTGGTCACTAATCTACATGGAGAAATGGAAAGGGCTATTACTGTTGATATTGAATCATCTAGCAGAGAGGATGATGTCAGCATCACTTCAAACCTATCCTCAATTGATTCTTTCTATACAATGGTCCAAGGTATGTTAACAAATTAAATGAAGCAATAGTGTTCAAGAGAAAAAAATGAATTAAAAGAAAAAACACTACTATATTTATTACAAATTGTGATGAAAACTAGACTGTATTTTGTATCGGTATAGGGTTAAAGCCTTAATCTGCTATAATATACATACCTATTTAGAAGAAAATTCAACTGAATAAAGTCATAAACTCTATGCTTGTGTCTCTAATTTTTATGATTACTCTTTCACTAGTTGTGGATGCAATTTGCAAGTGAAAGTTTAAAAAATATTTAGTGACATTGATTAAAAGTTTTTATATACACTCTGTTTCTAAAATGATTCTAAAGATGCATGTGGATGTAAAAAATAATGCTTCTTATGATATATAGTTGTCATACATTGGAATAAGTCAGATAAAGTTGAAAGGTCATAACCAAAATTAAGAGATTCAGTTGCATTAAAAAATAAACATTTGTTTTTTTAATGCAACTAAATGTTGCATTAATGTTGACTTGATTTCTGTTACTAATACTTTTGTATGAAAAATCATGGTTTAGAAATATATTTGTTGGGTTTCATTTTAGATCAGTTAAGAAATAGTTACCAGATTGGATATGATGGGTCTCTCAGAATCATCTATGCCAGTGGCCTGGATACACACTATCAAACAGAACCACATGTTTTAGCAGGTACAGCCAATCCAACTGTAGCAAAAAGAAATATGACTCTTCCTGGAGAAAATGGACAGAATTTAGTGGAGTGGAGATTTCGAAAAGAACAAGCACAAGGCAAGGTCAATGTGTTTGGCCGTAAGCTCAGAGTAAGTTACATCTCTAATGCATTTTTATTTTAAGATTAATAGTACAGAAGACGTAGTGAAAGCTTTCACTGCTTCAACTGAACTTTTTTTTCTTTTAGCAAGTCTTCTGAAGCCAATAAGATAAAAAGAAAATGGAATAATCCTTGCTAATATAATTTAAAGTTAGCAATGCCTCAGAAAGGAATATCTTAATTCATCTGCTCATATTATTCTATGTATTTCTGGATTTATAATCCTCAGTTAGTTTTTACCATTAGCATTACACACTAAATATAAAATCCTTTCTATACAACCCTATCTTTTTCTGCAGATATATAGAGTGATTATTTTAGATGAGACCCATTAACAATGCTGTAGGATAATCTTAGACATTAAGCTGTAGTCATCAACTGTATAATTTCTTACTTTTTTAAAAAGGAAGTTTACAACCCTAGGTGTATTTCATTTCACTGAATGTATGAAATGTGGGCTCTCCCTGTAGTACGTTGGTTTGTGACCTGTTGTCCAGGTTAGAAATACTAGCTTTCATACCAAAATATACGCATGCTTCGGAAATAATTGGGCTTTATCTGTGTTTGTAGCATACTATCCAAAAATCTTCAGTATTCAAAAACTGACCTGTATTGTCCTCTAGTTTTAGCAAGAGCTCTACATATGGCACAGGTGTGAATAAGACTGGTAACCTAATCAGCACTATTCAATCTCATTTGAATGTTCTATGGAAAAGCCTAAATTTACCAACAACATGATAGGCAGCAGAGGTCAGTATCGATGAATCCATCTAGTCACAGCCATGGCATGTGAAAGATTGCAAATTGGAATCTAAAAAGCATAAATGGGAAAGGCATGAATTAATAAATGAAATGAAGACTGATGTTATGTACGCCTGTGAAATTAAGAATAGAATGGTGTTGATAAGTACGAGTATGGAGGTGACATTTTAATTAATAAAAAGGCTTAAATGAATTCCAGAAAGTATGAATTTATGTCATATTGGTTCTTGAGGTTGTTGAAAGTAAAATTTGTAGATTGGTGATAATTATATGTTACTTTCCAGTAAATGACAATAAGAGATAAGGTTTGGAGAAATTATGCAGCATATTGAATGAATGAGATCCAGATGGAAAATATTCTTTTAGATCAGCGGTTCTCAACCTGTGGGTCGGGACCCCATTTGGGGTCGAATGACCATTTCACAGGGGTCGCCAAACAACGCAGTCTGCCATTTTTTTCCCCTTTTCCTTAGCTGTGCTACTCCCTTTTATTCTATTGGCTTTAAAGCCAATAGAATAGACTCTCTTGAATAGAGTCTAATTCTATTGGCTTTCAAAAGCCAATAGGAATTGTCCAGGCTGTCTCTGCCCTGCTGAGCCCGCCAAAAGTCCTATTCTGCAAACAGTGCTGCAAGTTGTCTGCAGCGAAGGCGAGCTGTCTGGAAGTTTCCACCCCTCCCTGGTGAGCAACTACTAAAAATGTAAGTAAAAGAGGGTCAGGGATGGGAGGTGGGAGGCCGGCAGGCGCAGGGAGGGTTGCTGGCGTGCGTGGAGCCTGGTGGGTGCCTTACCTCCCTTGGGCTGGGCCAGCTGGTGGCCCAGCCGGTGGTCGGCCTGCGCCATCTCTGCCACTTGCCAGCTATGCCTCGGCTGGTGCAGGGGGCAGCACCACGCATGCGTGGGACTCCCGGGCAGGGAAAGTCCTCGACTTACGACCGGTTGGGTAGTCCTCGACTTACGACCGGTTGGGGGTCGCGGCATTAAAAAGGTTGAGAACCACTGCTTTAGATGATGGTGAGATGAATAGACAGTAGGAAAAAGACCATAGAGTTTAGAAAAAATGTTTAGGCCATTTGGACATCAAAGGATGAAAGATTCTGGTGAACATATGTTTACAAAAATGTTGGTTTTCAAATGTCATTGAAGCAAAATTCATAGGGGAAGTAAATGATTAAAAACATAACTGATATAATTGTTTATTATTATAAACTGAAACGTTAGTGAAAGATATAGGGGAGATGAGAAGTTCTGAATGGGGGCAGGTCATCATTTGAAAGCATCAAACGTGAATCAAAAAAAATATGCAGGGAAGAAAGGAAGTAAATGCATGAGGGTAAGTATATTACTACACATTGACTATGCTAAAGCCTTTGATTGTGTGGATCACAACAAATTGTGGCAAGTTCTTAAAGATATGGGAGTAACAGACCATCTTATTTGTCTCTTGAGAAATCTATTTGCGGGTCAAGAAGCAATGGTGAGAACTGGACACGGAACCACTGATTGTTTCAAAATTGGGAAAGGAGTCCGGCAAGGCTGTATTCTGTCGCCCTGCCTATTTAACTTATATGCAGAGCACATCATGAGAAAGGCAGGGCTAGATGAATCAAAAGTTGGAATTAAGATTGTCAGGAGTAATATCAACAACCTAAGCTATGCAGATGATACCACTCTAATGGCAGAAAGTGAAGAGGAACTAAAGAGCTTCTTGATGCAGGTGAAGAAGGAGAGTGCAAAAGTTGGCTTGAAACTCAACATTAAGAAAACCAAGATCATGGCATCTGGCCCTCTCAATTCCTGGCACATAGATAGGGAAGAAATGGAGGTAGTAACTCATTTTATCTTCCTGGGCTCCAAGATCACCACAGATGGGGACTGCAGCCAAGAAATTAAAAGACGCTTGCTCCTGGGGAGGAAAGCTATGGCAAATCTAGGCAGCATAGTAAAAAGCAGAGACTTCTCCAGCAGCATGGCTGTAAAGTCCACTGGATGGGTTCCATGATAGCCTTCCCGCCCGACAGACTAGGTCAAAACTTTGGCCACACCCTTCCTTTGGGCTTGACCCCAGTTTTGACTTAGTCTTGAGCCCGTTAACAGCAAATATTTTAGCTCCTTAGACAGTCAAAAATTTGAGGCAAATTCTTCGCTCTCTGACAATCACCTGGTAGCAGAAGTTATACAGGAAGTCGTTTTCCTCTCTGTAGCTCGGAGCTCCGAGCTTTCCGTCAAATCCTCGAGCCCTGGGGGATTCCAATCAATGTGGTGAGCGTATCGAGCCAGCCCTTAGTTATTGCCAGATCTCGGAGTCTTGCAGATCAGCAGCGGAGCTCCTTTCCCCCCAGCTGTGAAGCGCAAGCTTCCGCGGCTCTGGAACGACTGGCTGATCCGCGGATCGCCTGTCTGAGATATATGGAGGCTTTTTTCTTTAAAGTAGAAGCTGCTTCCTGGGTCACCTCAGCTGAGACACAAAGAACAGCTGATTACCCAAATAAGGAGCCAAGCAGACTGCAGTAGTTGAAAGGGAGCTCCCCTTTCGGATTCCCTCCTTCAGTTTCTCCCTACTGATTACCTCAGCTTGCAAACTCGCAGTTAAGGCTGCAAATCGCCATTTTGAGCCTCGTGTCATTTAGAACCTGGCAGTTGGCAGTTAAGGGGCATGGTCTCTCTTCTCAGCGCCATTTTGGGTGTTCTTTCCCTTTCTGTGAATAGTTATATATATATATATTATATATATATATTAATAAGAATAATAAGAATAATAAGAATAATAAGAGAGAGAGAAATAGAGTTTTATCAAACACCCGTGGGTCTGTTTTAACAGCCCAATCATTGGGGGGCAAATTAATTACTTCAAATAATCATCTTTCATCAAGCTTGTGGCTATTGTCATCCACTATCCTTGCTGGAGGAGTGTGAGGAAATTCCAATTTATTCCAGCTGTTCTCTAAGGTGACCCTTTGTCACCGGCCTTGCAGGACCTTTCCTTTCAGAAAAGTACCTGTCTGTTCGGCCATTGTTTGACTTCAGAGTCAGGCTTGTAGCCTACAAACTCTGCATCTGATCTGCGCGTTTCTGACTTCCCCCCACTCCAGGTATTGCCTACTCGGGGTACCTGGCCACAATGGCAGACAGTGTCTCGTATTCAGCTACACAGGGTCCCCAACTGCCCCCCCCACAACAACAAAAGCACAGATCCACAGAATCTGATGTGGGGGGGAAGAAGAAGGCCAAAACAAAGCACCTTACTCAAAGGGGACCCTCCAAAACAGCTGAGCGAGAGGTCTCGAGGAGACATTTGGCTCTAGAAAGACAATTCTCCAGGGCTCAGAGAACCAGATCCAATGAGGCAAACATGGTTTCCCCTGCCCCATTGGTGGCCCCTATACCAGAACCTACTTCCCAGGAAGTCCTTAGAAATTGGTCTCCTCTGGGGGAAACCGAACAGATGGATTCCTCTCACTCCTCCTCACCAGCATCATCACCGGACCATACTCCCACTATAGCTGCGTCCAATGACAAAGCTCAGGAGGACATATGGTCCGCCCAATTTCAGGCATTCATGCAGGATGCCTTTTCCCAGTTTATGGCCTCTAAAGGTCAGATAACCTTTCAACCATCCCTTATGGAACGAAATAAGGCTCCGGCTACAAATATCTCTGAGACCTCCTCTCAAATAGGAGAGGGGGAATCAATAGATCTGGACATGAATGACATGCCCCTTTCGGAGGACGAGGAGACCACTCCTGAGCAGGCAACAAACTCTAGCCTCTTTGATCCAGCTCTTCTCAAATCACTTTTAATAAAGGCAGTCTCTACGGTCAATCTAACCTCAGTTCAGGAGGAAAATCCTTCCACAAGTAAGGAGGCAAACCCCCTTTTTGCCAAAAAAGTAGCACAGGATAAGTACATTCCTTGTCCAGAGGTTTTCCGCTCCTCTGTAGAGGAGCAATGGTTTTCCCTAGCAACTCCACCTACACCTAACACTGTGGAGAGGAAACTATTTAATGTGTCTCCTTCCTTTTCAGACATGCTAGAGGTTCCCACAGTAGATAGTCCTTTGATTTCATTATTCTCCACTTCTGCGATTCCAGGAGACATGGTGGAGGCCTTGAAACCAGAGGACAAGAAATTTGAGCACTCCCTCCGTCGCTCCCACATGGCCGCAGCCTGGGCGGCCAAGGCGGCAACTTCCTCGTCATTCTTCGCCAGGGCCTGTATTATGTGGCT